TAGTCAATTGATTTTTGACAAAGGTGCCGAAACAATTCAAGGGGGGAAAATTGTGTTTTAAATAATTAGTGCTGGGACAAATGGATAGCCACATTCAGAAAAATGAAGTTGGACCCCTATCTCCAACTATAGACAAAAATTAATTGGAATAGATCAGAAACCTAAATATAAGAACTGATACTATAAAACTCTTAGATAAACTCATAGAAGTAATCTTCATGCACTTGGATTAGGCAATCATTTCTTAGATGTGACACCAAAAGTATGAGCAACAAAAGAAAAAAATAGATAAATTGGACATCATTAAAATTAAAACTTCTCTGATTCATAGGACACCATCAAGTAAATGAAAAGACAACCCACAGAACAGGAGAAAATTTTGCAAATCAAAAATTTAATAAGGGACTTGTATCTGGAATATATATAAAAAATCTTACAGCTCAATAATAGCTCAAAAGTAGAAACAATCCAAATATTCATCAATTGACAAATAGATAAATAACATGTGGTATATCCATACAGTGGAATATTATTTAACAATAAAAAGGAACGAAGGTACTGATGCTACAACATGACAAACTTGAAAACATCATGCTAAACAAGACACCCAGGATTAGAACACACGTAGTCTGTTTCTGGATTCTATTTAATATTCATTTCTACCCTCTTTTCCGTGGTTTTCACATTGTCACCTCATTGTTTAGAAGCATTCTGATCAAACCTCTACTGGCTAAGAGCATTTTGGTCAAGCTCCCTTCACCATAACCTCTAGCTTTCTATGTTGTGCCGACAGAATCAGCAAAGTGCAAAGAAAAGCTGTCAGTGCCATCCACAGCCTGCTAAGTTCTCATGACCTGGACCCTCGTTGTGTCAAACCGGAAGTGAAAGTCAAAATTGCTGCCCTTTACCTGCCTTTGGTTGGCATCATTTTGGATACTTTGCCACAGCTCTACGACTTTACAGGTAAGGATCTCTTCTGTTTCCTAGATGGGGGCCCCTGCCAAATGCCCCACCAGAATGAAGTCTCTGTCGTCAGCTCCAGTGCTAACATGCTTCTATGAGCAATTCTTCACAGCAGTGGTCACCAGACCTTTTTAATACAGACTCCAATCAGTTAAAAAAAAAAAAAAAGGGCACATAGCCCCATGTGTGTTTTCTTTTTAGAAATTATTTACTTATTTGTTTGTTCATTTATTCATTCATTCATTTGCTAATTGGCTAGTATATGATGACCTTTGTAAACCATATACCAAAAAGGACGAAATAATAACAGAATTACTCCCTTTGGAGATCACCGCTCTAACACCTTGAAATAAAAGCATTCCATCCCTTTCCTTTTATGGGTGTTGAAGCAAAGAAGCAGCCTCCAATGAACCCTAACAATTATTCCATGCAAAAAAAAAATCATGGTGTCTATTAGTGTTAGGAAATTCTGCCACAGCAGAGAAATTTTGCCTTTGTCACTAAGGGGCTAATTTTGAGGTCAGTATCTCCTGCTTAGGAGCAAGAGGAAAGGATAAATTGTCTTAAAGGGATTTGTGAACCTCCTGAGTCTATTTACATATTACAGTGTGGATTAGGGAATGTAGAGGGGAAAAAAACCTCCCAAATAGAGGAACTTCTTATGTGAGATCTGAGAAAGACAATCCATCTGCCTGCCCTCCCCCCAAAACACACACACACACACACACACACACACACACACACACACACACATTATTCTGATCCCTTTGGGTTACTACTTGCTTTCCCCAGTTAGAGGCGGGGAACCTGTGGCCTTCTAGGTCCTAAGTGCAGCCTTTTGACTGAATCCAAATTTTATAGAACAAATCTTTTTATTAAAAGGGCTGCAGCAGAGAAAGATAAGCTTTTCTTGCCTCCTTTGGTGCTTAAAAAAGAACAATCTTGGCCAGGTGTGGTGGCTCACATCTGTAAT